GGCTTTGCGGAAAGCCTGGAGAGAGGTGAGGGTCCGAATCTCCGCGGGGAGTTTGTTCCAAAGGGCCGGAGCAGCCACAGAGAAGGACCTCCTCCGGGTAGTAGCCAGATGACATTGGCCAGTAGATGGAACCCGGAGGAGGCCTAATCTGTGGGATCTAATAGGCCTTTGGGAGGTAATTTGGCAGCAGGCGGTCTCTCAAGTACCCAGGTCCAATACCATGAAGGGCTTTATAAGTGACGACATGATGAATGGACCATGGGGAGGGGAGAGGTGGGTGGGGCCAGCCAGGAGTGGGATTTGGGTGTTTGCTGAACCACACAGAATCTTTGCTAGAGGATCATCGAAACCTGTGCGAACCCCCAGCAGCCCATCCCTGGATGGTATTCTTTCCTCTGTCCACCTGTAGAAATCTGTTGGAGTGGAATATGACTTTCAATCATCTCTGGTGATGGGATAACAGTCTCTAAATAATGAATTTATTTAAAAGGCTCAGGATGTTCAGTAGTTCACTGAGCATGTCTAGCTTTCAAGAAGTCCTGGAGATTCCATGAAGCCATTTCTTGCTTAGGGTTACCAGATGGCAGGAAAAAGAGAACCTGTCCCCATTTTTGTCTCATGTCCACCATCCATCTGGCATAACCTTAAATGCAATATTGTCCAGTTTTATACAGTGTCATTTTTTAAAATTTTTAGACTGTTTTGATTAAAGCAATGATTTAAACATTTGTGTCTTATTAATTGTCTGCTTCTTTCTTTCCCTCATTCAAATACAAACCTGACAGTTTAAATATCCACAGTTTAATTTACTTCCTGATTCCAGTTGTGGGTTTCAGTCCAGATCTTCAAATCTATCATCACTGGTGTCTGTAGATCATATAAAAGTGTCATCATTGGTTTCATATTATGTATTTTGGTTAATATAAAGATTTTTTGGAAAATATTACGATTGAGAAACCAGTTTTTCTGATGCCGGAAAAGTAAGTTCATATGTATGTATCCTGTTTCCCTGAAAATAAGACTTCTCTGGATAATAAGCCCAATTTGGCTTTTGAGCACATGCGGTAAAATAAGCCCTCCTCAAAAATATTGCAACACAGCAGCAGCCATGAGGTGATCATACTTGCCACCTCCTGCACCTCAAAAATAATAAGACCTACCTGAAAATAAGGCCAAGCACTTTTTTCGGGGGAACAAAAGAAAATAAGACCCTGTCTTATTTTCGGGGAAACACGGTAAGCTTAAGTATATTTTTGCTGTTATTTTTTACATGGATGACAAGAAACTTTGACTATGTGTCTTCTTTTTTCCTCCATTGGCCCTCTTTTTCAATAGTCAGTATCTTCCTTGTCTGTTGACCTAACTGGTAACCCTATTCTTGCTGGTCTCTAGAATCAGGTCCGGGGATGCTTCTGTCTATCTAAAGACAGGGCCAACCAGTTTGATCTAGTGGCTAAGGCACCAGGCTAGAAAGTGAGTTCAAGTCCTGCCTTATCTATGAAAGCCAGCTGGGTGACCTCAAGCCAGTCACTCTTTTTCAATCCATTCCACCTCACAGGGTTGTCATTATTGGAGAAAATAGGAAGAGGAAGGAGTATTTTGTATATTCACCGCCTTGAGTTATTTATAAAAATAATAAATAATATTGGATAATAAACAAATAAATATTATGTAGGATAATAAAGTAGATTATTTTATTCCTCCACCTAGAATAATTCTACAAACACATATTTAAGATAGATAAAAATTGCGATTCACTCACAAATTCTTACCAAGATTTTTCTCATGGCCATGACAAAGAAGTTTTTTTGTCCATGCCTGCTGTGGTCCCATGCTTGTTAAATGTTGCTTGGTCCATCCTGTGATAGGATGTCTTTGCCTGCAGGAGTTTTTGTAGAGGAGAAGATCTTTGCAAGAAAGGAAGTATTTTGTAGATCTAGAAGACTAACAGAAAAAAACATTATCCAATCTGTAGATCACTTAAAAATGAACTGTGTGTGTGTGTGTGTGTAAAA